CCGGACGATTAGAGCACCCACTGGGTGGGGCTTCTGTGCTCCACGCGTCAGTGTGCGCCCGAAACTTCCTTCCTGGGGGCCCCGCTTTCCCAGCACGTGCCAGGACCGGTCCCCAGCGCCGGGTGCGGGTCTCCAGCACGGCCGGGCTGGGCAGCGCAGGGGGCCGCACCCCTGACGCACCCGGGTCGCCCCAAGATGCCCCAGGGGTGGCTCCTCCCTGGCTCCCCCTAGACCACAGCGCACCGCTCTCCNCGCCGCCGAGCGCTAGTGTTCCTCCTTCCCAACCCTGATGTAGCCTCGCCAAAGGATCGATTTTTAAATTAGAGCCTCTGATGGAAACCAACCACCATCCCCGAGAGGCCAGCGGACAAAAGCGAGGCCCTCGCGGCCCGAGGACGGATGGAGCACAGGCCGCCCAGGGGCGAAGGCCAAGCCAAGGTCAAGGCCAAGGGCGGCCCGACAGCCGCGGGCGGAGCTGGTGGCCGCGCTCCGGACGCCGGACTGTTCACTGTAGTCACAGGAAATATTAATCTCGCTCTGTTGACGGTGGTGGCTCTGTTCTGATTAGAGGAAGCGCCTTCTCACCCGGCTGGGAGCTGTAGGCCCGGACGTGGGAATTACCCTTGGAATGGGGTCCAGCCTCCTTTTCCGAGAACTGCCCATCTCAGGGAAAGAGGAACAGCCTGTTCCCCGAATAATGGAGCGCCGGAGGCCCCGCCCTGTGCGACCCCAGCCCACCTCGCTTGTTGCCTGTGACCCTTCACCTTGGCTGCTTCCCCAGGCCTGTCATTCCTACTTTCCATGGAGCCTTTGTCCCTCTACCCAATATGAGCAGCTGGCCTCCGGGCGGCGGCGCAGATTTCCGTGGATGACCCCCTGCTCTCCCATATTGCCAGTGATACTGGAATAAATGCTCATATACAATTCAAGCCTCTCTGCTTAATTGGCTCAGGTAGGGGCAGGCAGCCCAGACCCATTGTCCGGTTTCAGAGTGACAAGGGTGTTACTGTAAGGTCAGTTGGAGGGGCAGGCGTGTGGAGCCGCACAGAGCTCGAAGGCACGTGGGGATCCAGGGACGCCCAGGGAACTCTATCGGGCTCCCCCATATGTGAGCTCAGTGTCCAGTGTCTAGAGGGGGCTGAGGGCTGCAGCAATTCCAGGCTTCCCAACAGGGGTCCTCCACCATGCCCCCCCATACAGTAGGTAGGGAGCACCGGGGAGTCTCCCCCATTGGCCAAGATGGTGCAGGGGGAGGCTCTTACACTGAGCAGCCAGACGCTAGAACGATGGATGGAGAGGGCCTGAGCAGGCCAAAAGCTAGCAAGGTAACTGGATGGGGGAAAGCCTCCCCTCCCTACCCCTGTAAGAACCCCGGGCTCGAGCGGGAAGAGGAGGTGGTCTTTGGGAGGGGAGTCCACCACCAAAGTGTAAGCAGCGGAATAAACCTCTTTCCTTTTGCACCAGCAGCTTTATCAGGAATTTGACTTTTGTTTCAGCAAGCAGCTGAATTCAGTTCCATGGTGAGAGATGGCAGGCAGAGGCAGGGGGGTAGAGAGGACCATGACCAGGTAAAGCTACCTTGGACACCTAACCCAGCTGAACCACATCTTTCTCGGAGATATCCTTCTGTTTAATTTTATTTATTTATTTTATTTATTTATTTATTTATTTATTTATTTATTTATAAATCCCTACTCAAGAATATATTCTTATTGATTTTAGAAAGAGAGGAAGAGAGAGGGAAAAGAGAGAAACATCCATTGGTTGTCTCCCATACCCAACCCAACTGGGATCCAACCTGCCGCCTAGGTATGTGCCCTGACTGGAAATTGAACTCACAACTCTTTTGGTATATGGGAGGATGCTGGAACCAACTGAGCCACCCAACCAGGGCATCTTTGTATTTTTTTAATCAGCCCAATGGAAATATTTCACATTGGCATGGGGTTTTACAGTTTACAAAACACTTTTGTAAATAGAACCTCCATTAAGTCCTCACAATCACCATGGGAGGTAGGAATTGTTATTCCCCCTTTATGTTACCGATAAGTTTGGGTTCTAGTCTCCTAATATAGAAGAATTTAGACCAGGGACACTGATAAAAGCAAAGGCAGATTTATTGAGGCTCTGTAGAGGGTGAGGACCTGAGATGGGGCCTCAGGCTGTTACTGGAAAGGGGACCGACCTGGCCCTTGGTGGGTCTGCCTAGGACCAGCCAGTAGTGCATAGGTTCTTGACTTCGTGGAGGAAAAATTTCACAGCACGAGTCGAGATGACTATGAGGGAACATTTATTAAAGCTGGGGACAGCAAAACAAGTAAGGGCTCAGCATAGAAGCAGCAGCAGGAGGGCCTAGAGAAGTCAGAGAAAAGGGGCCTTG